CCTACTAATATGAGTCTTCCTCTTATGTATTGCTATGGTGGTATACGCCATGGGCTGGGAACAACGATAAACGTAAGGCCTTGTTTACTTTCCGAAAGTAGGCTAGGCTTGCTGCGTAAGAGAAAGTAAGAGAAAGTGAAACTGACTACTCAACCGACTAAGCGGACTATGAAGGGGTGCCCTTGTTTGGACTGATATCAAGGGCCAGGCCAGCTTTAGACCATCCTCCAATATAAGCTAATCCAATCACTTTATTTTGAAAGCTATTGAGATAGAGGCAGATGGAAGGAGATGAGGATCCGAATTCCATTCTTTTTGAGGGAAAGAACCGACCCCAACCAAGGGGGCTAGCTGCTCTTTTATCCGCTGCTGTCTCTGACAGAGAAGATGTGACCGACTGCATTAGCACTTGTGGAATTGGTCTTCTGTAAGTGCAAAAACTTCGGAGTAGTGAAAATTTAAGTAATAAACTGATTCAACTTATCCCGGGCAACTCAGCTTTTCAACTAGTTCAAATAGGCCCTCGGTGCGCGCGGAAGGAATGACAGATCAAGGTGTGTTCCTCTCGGCGTAACCGGTCTTCTCTCTTACCTGTCCTATCTATAATAAAATAAGAAATAGCCGGCTTCTATTTTCATCGATCTTGGCGTGGGTGTCTTGCTTTGTCTTGATTACAGAATCGACATCCCAGGAAATCCATCCCCCTACTCTTTCTAAAGATCACTGCCATTGAGCATTTAAACTAAAGAGGGAAAGGAATATACGAAGGACTAGACTAAGCCAGAGATGAGATGCGAAAAGAAAGAAGGTCCGGGTAAGGCCTAACCACTGTTTTCAGGTGCAGATGAAGAATCCGCTTCATTGTTCCCACCATCTATATCATCCAAGAATATTGTATAATAATAATAGGAATCAATCGTTCAGTGATCGCTACGCTTGATTGGGGCAGCCTACCCACACCACACTGTTTTGGCTAAAAAGCCATCTCCTTGCTGTTCCTCATTATCACCTACTCCAAACACGAAAGTAAAGACCCAAAAATCTGTCTACATAGCTCACCTTTGAAGGTGGAGCTTCGCGGGGATCGTACGTCAGCCAAGGCCTTAGACCGGAGCGCGCCCCTGCAGGTGAATCTCTCAGCTTCTGTTATTTCTGTCCCTCCTCGGTGCCTCTTCCTGGCTACTCCACTCCAAGTCGGGATGGCTGCCACAAACACAGCTTGTACTGGCTAAACATCTCCTATCTTTCCATTTGAAGGAGTCTATCCCACAGCTTAAGTCTGACAAATGTCTGACACTACTATATCGGACGTAAAGTCTTGCCCGGCCTCACTGAGTGGATCTGGTGCCCACACCGTAGCTAGTCCTCTTAGCTTTATTGGAGCAGGTGCCCAAGCTTCTTTGGCTAAAGCACATCTCCTGTCTGAACCCTTGACCGATTCAAAAGACAAATGCACAAACCCACATTGAAGAAAGAGATGATCGAGTCTCTTACGCCATCCTAGGCGGTTCTCCCGTAGCGTCTCTGCCGGCTACTTTCTAAGGTTCAGGTTTGTCTGCCTATCCTAGGTGACCATCTTCGTCTACTACAACTAGGGTTTTTTCTTTGGGACAGATTTGATCTCGTCAACTCGGAACAACTCTAGCAACTCCTTAGCTACAACTCTTGCACTCGGGCTAATTTTATTATCGGGCAAGTTTCCACCCGTTTGTTCAATACCCGAACTCTAGTAAGTAGCTTAATCTGTCGAGAGGAACCATCCCTACCGGATCGGACATGTAACCAGTCTTCTCCGCTTGAGAGGGAAAGACGGCTGCTCTGTGAACAACCCTAGTTGCTGGTCCTGCTCCTGCTGCTGTCTGAACTGCCACCTCTGCTCCAATACATAAGCTCCAGCTGAAGTGTAGCAGCTCCGTCCCATTCATCACTGCTTTCTGTTAAAAAGAAAAGAGCTGCTCCTCTCCGATCTAAGTCCTCTCTCTAGTCAGAAATAGCGTAAGTTAATCAGGATGGATCGACAGGCAAACCTACTGGTCTCTTCCTCGAACCTAGCATTGCTGCCTGGCCCATCACCTTGATATGATGCACACTCGGTAAGGTCTTACCATTCCCCCTTCAATATCCATATTCTGGGAACCTCGGACGATAGCTTTCCCCCGATCCGTTTCATCGTGGAAAAGCTTTTCAATGCTGAGCCATGCATCGCGAGCTTTAATTAGGTTTTCAAAATAACTGGAAAATTTCATTGGAAACGGTAGCCTGAATCCAAGAAAGCACAATTGAATCAATCTGCTGCCAAAGCGTGTAGGCTGGGTTGTTGACAGATTCACCATCGGCATTGAGAATGGTAGGAGAAGAACAAGAGAAAGTAGCATCGATGTGGTCATACACAGCGTGACCTTTGAGAACCGGAAGAAAAAGTTCAGGCCAAAAAGATAATTAGTAAAGTAACGAACATTAGACACGTAGTTCTTGATCCTAGAGAGACTTCTTTCATGATTTTGAAAGGAAGAAGGGATAGAGAGGAAGAAGAAGGAAGCAGCCCGAGCCTGACTCAGGTATGGACCTGTCTCTGCCAGAAGATGATGTCGAGGAAAGGGTTTTTAGACCCTCCTTCCCGTCTTTGCGGATGGAAAGAAAGACTCCAAAGTTCTCCCTTTGTCTAGGCGGATCATGGGCCCAGCTAACGAGAAGGAAGGTGTCAAAGAAAAACCTACCCTCCTACTAACTAACAAGCTTTTTACACTCATTAACTAGCAGAAATTCCGATTCGGTTCTCAAGGAGCGAGAATGCTATTTATTTTAGTATCATGATGCTTCATTCTATAAGTGCGAAACTTTTTATTCAAAGTCTTTGGTATAATGCAATCATACTTAAGTTTTTTGTTTCTCTCCCAATTCAATAAATTCCTTTTTTGGTTGATGGCATTCCACAATCAGGGCTGCGAGAGGTCAATGTACTAGGGCTCATGCCCAAATAGGGGCTTTCTTTTCTCTTTCTTTTTCTCGTTTTCGTTCGAATTCTAAGCTGGTTTCCAAGCGCTACCAAGCGATCGACTTTCTGCCTCTGCTCTGGTTCTCCCGCTGGTATTCTAAAGCGGGCATAAGATCATCTTAAAAGGTAGAGCCAACCAAGTCAAGAGTAGCATAGCATCTCTCCTATATCCCCCAAGCAGTCTTCTCCCCCTAGCTGTCTAGTTTATTATCTATCTCTCTCTCTCGCTACGCCCCTTACTCTTCTAACGGGTTACACATGCCTTACCTAAGAAGGAAAACATATAAGAGTCGTGGCATTCTCCGCATTACCTTTCCCT